TCTTTCTGTTACTGACAATCAATTGAGCGGCACACAAATTAATGATGAAAGAAGAAAAAAGTAATATGTTTAGTGTAGAATAGTATTTATATGCTGTGTAAAACTTTTTGCACAACGATAACACCAGCACCTCATATAAAGATCCCACGCATGAGTAAGCCAAACAGAAATAAAAAATTACTTGGTAAATAATTATTAGAACATGTCATTATAATAATAATCAATAGAAGTCTAGTATGTATTAATAAATAGAAAAAGCTATTAAAATTTAAATAAGTCTATAATAAATATTTTCATTTAGTATTGCCTGTACAGTTTTTATTGCTTGTCAAGAATGGTATATACTTATTGCACATAAGTAGTACTGTTTACTGCCAGTCACTGAAGTTAATTTTTAATTAATTAAAATAGACACATTCTTAGTTTATAGTATTGTACGAAATATGCAAAAAAAAAATTAATTATCTAATTAAATATTCTATACATCAACAGAAATTAAATTATTTATCAATTGACATATTTTCTAAGCGCCATAAACATACAAAAACTAATATATGTAAATCTTTCATTTATAACAAGTTAATATTTATAAATTTTATATTTATAATTTAAATGTAAAACAATTAATACTTACTTTTTAATATGTATATATTAACTGAGTTATTAATACAAAATATTTCTAACAAAAACTACTATAGTTAAATGTAATTAATGATATTTGAGTATCAAAATTGTATATGTTGATAAGCAGTTAAATTTTTCATAAAAATATCGTTAACAAAATGTCAAAAACCAATGTGATCAGATAAAAAAATATATTGCTTTTGATAAATTAGCATTTATATATTATGTATATTTTTATTACGATTATCCAAATATTATTTTTGTATTTAGATTTTCAGAATTAAGTACCTTAATCTACATTACTTATTTTATACATTTTACGATAATGTGTTTTATATTTAATCATTTATATATTTATTTTTATTTATTTGTTTTTTATATTATCTTCCGTTTGTATAAATATTTATGTATTTTTGGCAGTAATCAATGGCAAATTCGGATTGATGTGAACTTATGATATGATTCTTTATATAACTCTCTATTACTGGTTAAATATTTCATACTCACAATACGAATTCAGCTTTACATCTTCTTATCATTTCGGTGCTCGTATACAATTTCTAATTTAAACTAAAATTAACTTTGTTAAATTCATTGAATAATTAAATCATTTTATATTATCAAAGTATAAAACTTTTTATCATCTAGATTTAAAATGTTGCCTATTTGTTTATTACATTATCAAAAATTTATTACGTTTATTAATTGTATTATTATAAGTCTATTATATTTATTTATTCGATTATTATATATTTATAATGTTTATTTACATTATTATAAATATTAAATTAAATAATTTTATCTTTAAATCTATTTTTTATTAACTATTGCTATTAATCTATATTAATTTAAATTTTATGTTTAATTTTTTAATAACCCCGTGTTATATAAGTATATTAGTGTTTTTTCAGGTATTCGTTAAAATTTTTATTTAGAAACATAGTATAAATATATTAGTGTTTTAAAAAATATTTTTATAATTCTGTATGATACAAACATAAAATATCTATATTTATATATAAAAAAATTATTAAATTTAAATGTAATGATAGAAAAATCATAAGATATTATTTCATAAATATTATTGGTCGATATTTATATAATTATACTTTAATAAATTTAGCGATTAGTCTTTTAGAATATTTAAAATTAAAATTTATATTTGCCTTACTTGATATTGTAACTCAAATTTATATTATATTGAATATATACGTGGTATACAGACGGTAAACAAATTCTTTCAAATTTATAATTTTATTAATTAATTACTGAAAATAGTCAGGAAACAATAATTCAATACATAAAAAATGTTCAATATACATTTTTTAATTATATGTACAAAACATAATATAATAATTACGATTATATATTGTTGATCTTCGTAAAATAAAATCTTATACAGTCCAATGTAGGTAGATATAAGAATTATAAGTTTATAAATCTGTAGATATATGGAGATGTATGAGAATTATTTTATTAGCACATCAATAAATTTAATAAAATATTTTATTAAAAAATTAATTTGAATTTCAATTTGAATAAATTTATACTATTAATATTAAAAGCTTAAACAATTTGAAGGTATAATTTTATATTGAAAAGAATTAAAATATATTGTTAGTTTATATTCAACTTAGGTTTTTTTAATAAATAAAATTATATTAATACGAAACTGCAGTATAAAATATTATAATAATTAGAATATTGGATGAAATGTCTGTTAAAACGTACTTTTAATTTAGTACCTATAATGAGTATTTAAAACATTCTATATTAAATTTATTATCAAGGCTTATCTTAGTTACATACGAATAAGGAGGTAAGCAAAATGTAAAACAAACAAATTTGAGAAATTTTTTTTTATATAATAATTTTATAATGATATACAAGATTCCTGTATATAGAAATATTGCATAAATAGCAGATATTTCATATTCAAAGTATAAAATATAAAAGTTATAGAGCTTGTAAACATTTCTAATATAAAATCATTCGTAAAATTTAATTGATAACAAAAAATAATTTATGAATGTATTTGTAAAATTTTAATAAACTTAAACATTTACCAATCGTTGACATTTAAAATAAGATATTAAAGTTAAAAGTTAAGTTTTTTGCTTAACAAACATTAAATATAAGTAAATTAAAAAAAAAGTACAACTTGCACCAATTATATTATATTAAATTATTTCCAATAATTATAATCTATTTCATCGCAATCTCTTATTATTTAATCACATAAAAAATTCATTATATTATATAAAAATATAATTATTTTTGTTCATCATTAGTAATTAAACAAACCTAATGAAAAATAATTATTGAATAATTTTAAATAATTTATGTAAAATAAAGATATTTGTAATATATAAATAACGTACAAATTATAACTTTAATGGCTCAAAATAATTATAAATTAATTCAAAATTAATCAGAATTTTTTAGATATATTTTATACCTTATATTGTAAACCTTAGTAAATTATCAAAACCTATTTTATTTATAAATTATTCTAATTCGGTAAAGTTTAAAAGATTCTATATATCAGCTGCTGATAAAATAGAATTCTATATTATAAGATATATATTAATTGTTACATGAATAAAAAGTAATTACAATCTTTGAAATTAATCGAACTTATTTAGTAAATTAAAATTTTGTATAATTATTTATAATTTTGTCAATATACTTTAAATAACGAATGCATTATTATATTAATGTAAATATGACATTACAAATATGGAGTTAATCTTAATGAACTGCATATTGGGAACTGACATAAAAATTAAATATATTAGTCACTATTGTCAGCGTTAGTTTACTACATTAAGTATATATTAAATTAATGAAAATTGTACAAAGGTGATAAAAACGATATAAAAGTTGTATTAAAAAAGTTTATTATTATATATAAAATATACAGTAAATTATATAAAATATTAATAAAATTAATGTTTTTTTTTGTTTTAATATAAACCATACTAAAATGTAAAAAAAATTCAGCATAATTCATCAATTATACAAGTAAATAAAGTAAATTAGAATTTAATCAATTATGAACGGAATACTTATTCTTTCTTCGAATATTTATCTCTTAGTTCTCTGAATTTTCTTCATTTTATATTGTTTGATTGTAGTAATAGATCTTGTTAATTGCATTTTGCTTTATTACTAAAACTTAAATATTTTTAGATTATATCATTTTCTAAATTATTAAAAATCTATTCATATATCTTTAAATAATACTTATTCTAGAGTCTAATCTTTATAAAATATTATTGCATAATTTTTAATTATAAATATAATGTTATGTTTGATAAATTGTTTTAATGCTTATATTGTAATATCTTAAATGTTAATTGAAGTGATAAAATGTTCTATGGTCGTTTGAATTTCTAGAGTATTTAATTTATTAATGGTTATTATTAAATAAAAAGCTAGTTTTACTAGCATTATGTGGGTGAAAATCTTCATTTAGAATATCTAATAGACTTATTGTGAATATTTTCGTGATATTTATTTAATATATTATATTTCATATTTTATACATTATTATATTGACATAATTCTATAGTGAAGCTTTTTATTATTATTTTCCACTCTATTATATTTCTAATAAATATATAATTAATAATTATTATTAATTATTATCATTAATTAATTAGTAGTAATTAATATTAATAATATTAATAATTATTCTTATTAATTATTAATATCACATCAATAATTGTTATATCAAAATCTGTAAAATTATATATACATTCGATTAAAATCGAACTGTATACATATTAATTCATTTTAATACAATGAATCATAAGTATACATATATATTTCTAATTAATTATATGGAATGAATCTTTGAATAACGTTAATTCACAATCGATTACGATATATTATTTGAAAATCTCAATTAAATAAATCACAAGCTTATATACCCTTGTAGAAATTTCTTTTTTAATAAAATATTCCAAAAATTCATTTAATTATCAGTAAATTTATATTATCAAAAATTAAAAATAATTATTTTAATTAATTTTATTTATAGATATAATATAGCAGCCAACTATTTCCAAAGAATCATGACTAAAATTGATTGGGCAAATATGAGTCATGATTTTTAAATACAATAAATCAGCTAATAAAATCTCTGAAAAAGAAAGAAAATTATGAAGTTAAAAATTAGAAAAAATAAACTCTAAAACTTCAATACTAAATACATAAAATTTTAACATGACCACATCTTCAAGAATTTACATTCGGGTGTAAAATTAAAGCATTGTTAATCAATGATTTCGAAGAAGACGTTTAGAAAAAGAGTACAAACAAGGTAATTGGTGCCTCTTCGTCTACATCCGTAAACATGTGCCGTGCCTTACCTCTCCTTATCAAATGGCATTGCTTCGTATTTTGCGCATGCGCCAATTTTACAATGCTCATATAAATACACTAGCGAAAGATTGCTGAGTCAGTCAACTGTGTACGTTCATTTTAATTTAGTAAATCGTTAATGCAAATTATTTGTACATTTTTAATTGGAAGAAAAAAGCTGTAAAAATTATTCTTGTTCGTGCTACATTTCGCTAGCAAATGCAGTCGTGTATTAAAGTAGATTGGAACAAATTTTAAAAGGAATTCCATCAATAGAACCACGTGCAGGATAAATAGCAGTACGAAAGAGAACATCAAAATGCCGGCTGACGTGGCAATGCATACTAATTTTCTACACTTTGATCAAAGTAATAGCAAAGAGTCGAATGTTGACTCTTGTTGGAATACAGAAAACATAAGCGGTTATATGACACTTATGAGCTCAAGTGGCGATCATCGCCAGTCAATTCAAGTAAAAGTCTACCGTACAAGCGTTGAACATTTCGCCGTGATCTACCCACAGAAGAAAGTATGTCGTCCTTTAGGAGTTTTGAATCTCATGAATACGACAATTGAGCGCTTTGGTAAAGAAGGTTTCCTTGTGAGGCAAAAGGACTATGACTCCCCTGTAGCATTGACTTTCCTTGTCGAAAATCTGAAAGACATTGACTATTGGATCTTAGCATTTACAGCAAGATCTAGCCCTCTTGTCCATCAGAATAATTTACCCATTGTTGAAGAGGAAGAAATTTAATTCAACAAAAGAGGATTATGGTGAAAAACCATTCATAAATACTAATTTTCTTCATCATTCCAGACAAATTGTGACGAATATTAGTTATTAATATTAATATTCATTTTTTCTGGTAATTTATAACAAATTCTTCACAAATAAAGTAAATCCAAAAAATATAAATTGAGTTTGTAGATTTATCAGCTTATACTACTACCAACAGTTCCTGACCAAGCTATTTGCTGTAATTGTTCATTCAATAGTGATATTTCAATACTAGTATTGGAGAACTTCAATTGTAGTGAAATATAGATAAAGTATCAGTTACTTATACATTATGTTCATTCCACAAGAATCAACATTTGAAAATAATATTTCAAACTATGACAAATGGCAGCAGTCAATTGGATCTTTAATGTATTAAACACATTGGATGTGTATAATAAAACCATTATACTATTCCATTTAACTTAACAAGTAAAAATATTACACATAGTTTATAATGTTCAGAGAAATTTATACGAACCATCAGAAAAGTTTTAATTTGTTAAGACATGTGGTTATGTAATTAATTGAAATCAGTGATGTTATAAGTGTGGTGATTATAATTGTTACAAAAAATTGAAAACTAAAAAAAATTAAGGATGATTTTAATTTCTTATTCAATGATAGATTTGGATTCATCATGTACACTGTCTATACATAAAGGTGATGATATCAATTGCAATTATCACAAATTGTAAAAGTATCTGAAGCAGTATTGCAGGAAAGACAATAAAACAAGGCAGAGATGAAGAAAAAAAAATATTTATGATAGGAAAAGAGTTAAAATGATTCCCATCATTTATGGAGAACCTTACCTGGAATTTTAATTCTTTTAAATTTAAAATGAATGAATGATTAAGATATGAAAGTATTTGGTAAATTACTATTAACTTAACTTAATTACTATTAATTAAGAAAATAAATGCGATTTGATTACTTTAAATAAATTGCATAATTTTATGTAATTATATCATTTACTAGTACTAGAAAGTAAATACCTATTAATATTTTTTAAAAGTTATTTTCATTTTAATAAACATAAAGTATTAAAGTCAAATAAATTAGGAGATATTTTGAGATAGAAAAATGCATGAAAAAAATATATGAAAGAAAATTTTATTTGAAAATCATTGTCTCAAAAGTACTTAATCAAATTATTTTTTCTTCTCAATTAATAGAAGGCAATAATATTTATGAGTAGAGAAACAAATATGTGTATATGTGCATTATTTAACAATACCATTAAAGGTAACATAGTAACAAGTAAATTGTAATGTATGGATGGAATCTGGTCTACTAATTATATTCTATTATACTTTTGATGCATCTCTTCATCTATTGAAGAAGTGCCTGAAAACACTTATTACCAGTGTTAATATTACCTTTTGGATGATCTAAGTATGAACTATATAATAGAGTAGCATGGACACGATTTAATATATTAAGGTATATTTCTCTTTTTAATCTTTCTAGATTTATATTGAATGTTAAATAATATTTCAGTATGATTTATTTTCATACTTTCAAAATCATATTATATGAAATCCATATCTTATTAAAAATGTTAATTTAATTATTCATAAATGTTTAATGAAGGGGACTCTTGCCCAGTAAGAAACTAATTTCTTGGCTATATATCTATATGTGTGTGTGTGTGTGTGTGCGCGCGCGCGTGTGTGTGTATATAATAAATATTAGTACTATATACAGTACTAACAGTTATACCAAAAAAAACATATTCATTAGTTTACAAAAAAAATGTATAAGTCTGTACTTAATGTTTTGATAAATACTTGTTATAAAATAACCTAAAACAACATAATAGTCAATCAATCTTTCTTACAAATATGCGATAATATCCTTTTGCATAGAGTTTAAGACTCGCCTGTGATAATCTATCCTAAAACATTTGTGATATTTGTATTGTTAATATATACAATTATCAAAGAGAATAATTTTTATTTTTATTTTACTTTTTATAACAAAAATATATAAAGAACACACAATAAATAATATTTATATATTTTATGGAAGTGTTTCTCAAATATATAAAATAAAATTTTATGATTGTTCGGTTTCAATATTTGTTATTTATGTTAAGAAGCACCACCAGTAAGAATGTTACATGTATCATAGATAATTCTTAGTCTCACGATTTTTGTAATATGTAAATAAAATTTAATACAATTAATTTACATTGTTTTTCATAAAATTTTATAATTTTGAATATAATAAATATCCAAAAACAGATTCTTAATTTCAAATCGATATAATATCTATAATTTAATTATTAATAAGCCATGGTTTGTAATAATATGTGAAATGTACAAACTAAACTTTAAAAATAAATTTTATTAAGGTTTTTCAATAATATTATAATCATTCTTATTACTATTTGATTATGAATAGTAAATAAATATTAAAACTATATAAAACATTGATGGATTTAATGTTTTTATATATTTTATTTTTTGCATACATTTCTCACAAAATCTCATCATATAAACATCTACATGATCTTTTATTCTAAATACATAATTATTATCATTTATTTCGCACATATTTAAACTGTATTATAAAATAAACAATTGATTGATTAGGCATTGAAATAGAAATATTTTAATTGAAAATATTTAATCGATATAATTGTTCATAGAACTTTAATTTTAATCTTGACGTGATACAGAATATGCGAGATAATTGTTTATTTGGATACTTAAATTATTGAAAATAGTTATTAAAATAGACCATCGTCGTTGATAAATACGATATAAAATCACTTTATTGAAGATATGAAGAAAAAATTAAATCTAATAAGTTGATAAATGCCTATTAATTTATCTTTTTTCTTCAAAGTGATATATTTATTGTATATACACATTTATTGAGTTAAAAATGATTATAAACTTCTGAAAAAATGATTATGTAATTAGTGTTGAAGATTATATATTTCCAAATAGGCTCAAAATTTGTTGGATAATAAAATAAAATTTATTTATTATTAGATAATTGTTTTTAGTCCTAAGTTTATTTACAATATCGATACATATTTTTGTTACAAAATGTCGCCAAAATTTAAAGATATAATAATTATTCAATAACTACTATAATTTTTTTATAATAAATAATATGTGTAACTTTAGGTCATTTACGTGTTTTCCTTAAAAATCAAAAACGACATTGAATCTCATTAAAGTAGCCAATTATAATTCAAACACAATAACAAGCAATATGTTTGCTCTCTACTATTATTCATGATCCATAATGACACCTCGAATTCCATGAAGCTTTTTTTAAAATAGCATCCCAAACAAGCAATAATAAACGATGTTTAACCATCTTTAAAGTGTGAACCTACTTATTTTTAATTGTAGTTTTTACTGTGTTTCTCCTTTGATTCGATGCAGCCTATACAAATATATAATTAAGTATTCAGCACTATGAATTATGTATCTATAAACTTAATAAGGATATATAAATGAAAATAATGATTTTCTCAATTTTGTGCCTCATTATTGCTAGTATAAGTACGATAACGTACCGTTCACAATTTTATAGGCAAAATAAATTGGAATTGTGTTATTCATTTAATTTGTAATAAATGCTTCATGACAGATATGCGATGAAATACATTTTCTAGTATTTCTGTCATAATGATATTAATTATATTAATAGATAAAATAATATATAATTCAAGAATATCTTTCAATTTAAAAACATTAAAAGCTCTAACTGTAATTGCTGTCATCTCCAAAATATAATGATTTTCAGAAAACTTATTATTAGCGATGAGAAAAGTATACTTATTGAGAAAAGTATTTGTAGAAAAGAAGTACCTTATATTTAGTGAGTCTCAAAGAAAAAAGAAAAATTGATCGTTTTCTCGAATGTCATAACCAAAACAAAATTGAAAATCCTAAAATGTTAAATTTATGATCCAGTATAAGTCTTAAAAAAATTAAATACATGTAAGAAATCATAGTAAAATAATATTTTTTACATGTTCCTATGATATGTTAGATGCAAAATAAGTAGTTAAAAGTAATGTCAAAATCATAGTTTAGACAAAAATTATACATCAAACATTTTTAATATTAATCGTTGATCAACGTAGAAAACTTGGTTATGCAAATCTGCACATACATCTCTAGTCGTAATTGAAAGTTCTCTTGCGATTAAACGCATAGTTTCTGAATGAATGAAAAGATAACATTATTAACCAATGCGTAAATTTTTGTTTATTAATATTT